TTCGAGTTTTCATGTCAGCAATGCCTTCATGTCAGCAGTGGTTAAGAATCACATGTGTAATGAACCATCTTCTCAAACAGGGCATGCACAGCTCGCTCCATGGCGTCCTTCTTTGCTTGCTTTGGGTGAAGCCTCCGCACGAAAACCCAGACGGATTTTGACAAGCTGCCCCCGTGCACTTCACAAATGCGTTCCTGCATGTTGAGCACGTTCAACACGCCCAAGATTCTTGTTTGGCAGCCACCAGACCACAGGAAGCTTGTTGAGGGAGTCACAACCATAAGGCAGCTTGCAAAGCAGAAAAATGGTGTTCAATACTTGGAAAAGCAGAAGCCTCTCAGAAGTTGTGAAACAAATCTGAGGCGCTGCAAAGAACCCTTTGAATGCCATGCCTTTATGGAATAGATATATATATATATATATCATATATGTGGGTCGCGTTAGTGCTTGGCAGACATTGGGTGACATGCCGTCATTTGAATAGGAGTTGCGCTTGAGCCGCTTGATCCTCTAGTTTCGGGGCCTTTGAGCCCATTTGCCATTGTTCTTTTGTGCTTGATTGCCCTGTGCGATGCTGCATCTTGCTTTCACCAGCCGCAGTGGGCAAAATGCGTCCTCGCCTTTTTTTTGGCACCGCCCATATATGGCGGTTCCGGGTATTGTGCAAGGGATACCAGGTTTGCCACGTCTGTTGCACAGCCTATGGATGCGCACGGTGCCTTCGTTCTGCGGGGGGGCTTTCAGTTCTTTCAGGTGCTTTCGGTGGGCTGCAGGTCGCCATGCAAGACATCTTTGAGGTTTGGGCATGCTGGCAATCCGGCCGCCTGGTCTCGAAAAAAACCCAGCCCTGGCAGACTTCCCACTACTGCTGCCATGCTGCGTTGTCAACAAGGCCGATGGTTCTCCTCATGGCCAGCAGGCCGAGCCGCCCGAAGGCTTGAGCAACTGGCGGTGTCCCGCAGAAATGAGGTCCGCTCGTCCCAGGTCATACTTGCCCGTGCCACTATTGCATATTCTGCAGCTGCCCGAACCTGCTGAGCCCGGCGGTTAAAGTCAAATCGCTCCTTCTCAGCCAATGAGCCCAGTGATGCCAGTTCGACCGCCTCAGCCACTGGGGAGGAAACTGCACACACGTGGCGTTCACGCCGCGAGGAGGTGGCTTAATCGGGGCAACGCCTGTCGCTGTTGAGGTGAAGCCTTCGTTCATGGCCACAATGGCCACGAAGCCCTGGCAGGGCCTTGCATGCACTCCCAGCCCAAACCAGCAGTTGAACCTTTGATGTTGCCCATTACAACAGGCAAACTGCAGCTTACAAGGTAGGCAACTCGGCGTGGACGGGGCTCCTAGGACACTGGATCCAAGGTCTAGGCTGCTTGCGCGTGGGGCACAATCAGACGCTTCGTGATTTTGCGCATTCCCCTTAATACGCCACCAAGACTTTGACTAATTATGCCTCCGGCATTTTCTTTCAGTCAATTTTCGACTGGCGGGGGGCCCTTCGTGGTTTACCTGTGTTGCGGAAGATCCGCGGTTTGGTGAGGCGGAAGGCCGTTGGCAGAACAAGGAATACTGGACAATCCTCATGTGCATATATTTATTATTACGCACACATCTTGAGGTGTATATAATATATATATATATATACTATTATACATATATTTGTATGTATATATACATATATATATATATATATTAATATACATAACTCGGTGGCACTCAAGGGTTACACACTCACATATGCATGTGTATGTTTGTATATGTGTATATATTTTTATATATGTATAGACATATTCATGTATATGTGCATGTGTCTATATACACTCGGTGTCACTCAAAGCTTATTAAAATCTGGATGCGCTTATGGAAGCTCCGCGGACAAGCGTCATGTGCTTCGCGCCGCCCAATGGAGCGAGCGGTTCACCATTCAGGCGCGACAAACTCTTCCATTATATTTCTTGGCGATTCAGAGAAAACCTTCCTCTGTGTTTCCTGGAGCAAGACGAAGTTTGACCACATTTCACCAGTGGCGTCAAAGGGGTTCATGTACCAGGTGATGTCTAGGCGTGTCCTTCAAGGCAACTTCTTCCTTGCAGTGAGGATGCCTGCATCCACCCACTACTACCTGAATTTCCTGGGCCTGCAGTGGGTCACACACGCCATGAACCTCACCAGGCGCGTGGGCCAGGAATGTGGAATATTGTGGGGTCACCTCTGGTGCCGGTTCAAAGCGATGTCAATCTCCAAGACTCGAAGAGCTTTGATAGCCAGTTTAGTACAAGCTTGTACTCCCTGATCGGAATTTTGGTGAAGGACTATGTCAATCTTGATAGCCAGTTTTGTCGGGACGAAACGTTAAGGGCAGACAAAGGGAATGTTTTAAGCTTTAAGCATCCGACGCAGCCTCCAATAGTATCTCGTGTGGGCAACCAAGACGGGCCCAACTCGTTTCATTCCCCACCCGTTTCAAGACGATGCGCATGACACATTTGTTCCATGGAACATTCCAAAGCTGGCAAGGCGGACGCCTGAGGACAGCCTCTAATTTGCTGAGGTATCAAGCGCCTCCTTTGGGCAAAGCAAGTGGCCACATAGCCCCGCCTGCAGAGGGAAAGAAGGACGCCACTACTTTATTCAGAAGTTTCAAGTGTGCGTTGCGCTGCACGAGAGTTGTCTGCCAGGATAGTTTTTGCCAGCCAACATTTACTTGGGTGTTTTCGGACTTGGGCCTTGGAGAACTGTGTTTCTCTTTTGCCTTCATTTCCTCTCGTAAGCAGCAGAAAACTGGCTGACCAAGCCATGTGGATTTAGCATGAGTTTCATTAAAACCCATCCAAACAGGGGGCTCTGGGACCCATCCACGGGCCTTGCAAGAGCGCAGGGAGTTCTTCCTTTCGAGCCCCTTTTTTGGGCCCCCCCCTCTTGGGGCTGCGCAGTAGATCCCGGCCCAAGCCTGGCGCAAGGTACATCCAATGCATGAAGTTTGTGGGCCTCTCAAAGATCTGGAACGACGACGATGCACGAGCATTGGCAGAGCCGGAAGACCAGGAGTCAGCTGGTGAAGGGCAACGTCGCTTCCAAGTCAGCCATCGGGCTTTGCATTTGCGTGTGTGTGACCCGGGCCCCGCGATGGCTTGGCAATAGTAGTTTCCCTTCTTTGTATGTCTTGGTGTCTTTGTTTCTTCGTTGTCTCTTTCTGTCTGGGCGTGTGTTTGTGTGTGCGTGTGTGTGTGCATGAGTTGGAAAGAAGAGGTATGCAAATGTTCGCCCGTACCGGCAGAATCCTGTTGAAGCAGGCAAATCTGAATGAACTGCAACGGAAGTTGCTTTGTCTTAAGCACTTTAGGTGCCCGCAGTGCCGGACGGCCGGGACAGACTGAACGGAGCGCGGAGCGCAGTGAAGACAGAGTGGACGGACCGGAGCAACGAGTGGAAACATGTTTTTGCGCTTCCTGGTTTCCAAGAAGCTTACAAGGGCAACCAATCGTTTGCCTGAGACGTTTCGAGTACGCGGGACCTGGTTCGGATGTGCGCTGCAGTCGTGGTAAAATTATTAGGTCGCTTTGTTATCTTCACGCAGTTAAAGTTTACCTTTATGCTAGAATGCTGGTGGTTGGCCTTGCAGAGGATATAATTACTGATGCTGAGCAGGAATTGGTTTGCAAATCACGGACGGTGCCTCTCGAGAAGAAGAAGAGGCCGAATGTGCAAGCTGGTGAACGCATACGTGTGTGACTGTGTGAATATGTCCGCATGTGCGTGCGTCAATGTTTAGGTGTGCGTGTGTGTGTGTGTGAACGACAGATAAATTTCTGCGTGTGATTGTGAGATCGAGTGGCTGTGAGTGAAAAGTTGTGTTTGCATGGAGAGTCGTCCACACTCAGGCCGCGTCATAGCCTTTTGGGTTCCTGGACTCTGGATGGTGGACTTGGGGGATGGTCAAAGTTCCCACAAGCGAATTTACCCACTCAAACTTGGCACTCTTTGGGTCAGCCAGGGACGCTGCCAGTGAGACACTTCTTGCCAGGACTACTACGGCATGGGCTCCAGGACGCCATTCACTGGGTGACACGCGTTGCTTACACGGCTTACACGGTTGTGGTCGATGAAATTGGGCTTCGCCCCCATTCACTGACAGATCTAACGGGCTCCTTCTTTTGGGAGCCAATTTCGGTGGCAGGCGTGCTTGGGATGCTTGTCGTGGATTCATGTCGCCTGCCGCGTCCTTAGGGCGACGGGGCATTGCTTCAAGAAGCCGCATAGACTGCAACATGACATGCTGCACAAGCTGCATATAGGCTGTTCACTTTGTGTATAATGGCCTGTCAGCATGGCTGCCACTTGAGTTCATGGGTACCAATCATGGCAAGCAAGCTCTGACTGCCGCAGATGTTTTCTTGTACAAGATAGGGCACGAGATCTTGTGTTTGAGATGCCTCCGGAAAAAGGGCTTATGATGGTATCACAAATGCACGAGTTCAAGCGCAATTTCGTGTCTGAACTTGACAGGAGTGCCCGCTTCACCACAAACATGATGGTTGCCATCATCTTCGGCACGATCTCGCCGCTCATGTCCTTCCTCGCCTGGGCTCTTTGGCTGTGGAAGTCATTGACCGAGTCACTTCAAAGTTGGGAATCATCTCGCGTGTTGACCTTCGCACCAACGAGTAAACACGTAAGTTCATTGATATTCTGCAAACATGACTCCAATCTTCGCAGTCTTCTTTGTCCCACTCACTGGAGGTTATGGCCATGGCTTTCTGTTGCGTCGCTTTGGTACTATCTACTGAGTTATGGGGCACCTGCTTGCACAATACGCTCCTTCCGAGTGATTTTCGACTATTCATCGGCATGGAAGCCAAACGACAGGCACACACAGGTGATATGTATAGGGTAAGGGAAAGGGGACCCTTATTGATTCCAGAGCTCCAGGGCTCCAGAGCTCATGTAACAGAATCCCGAACGCAAGCCTCTAGGCCTGGTCTGCGCAAGTGTTGACCAAGCCCAAAGCAGGTGGTACAGCGTATCTCTGACAGCATTTGAGCATTTTCACAGGCAGGGGACCCCTAATTACCCCTTTTGGTTAAACCATCCAATAAGGGGATCCTCCTATTTTGGAAACACCTTGGTACTTGAATTCTGATTCAACTTGGAAAGATGTCACATCAGTGGGGAGGAAGTCACATCACAAAAGTCAAACCCCACACGGACAGGCACACAACACAACTATGTCTACAATCTACATGCACAAAAGGCCAACGAGGGCAAAGCTAAATCCAAGCTAGGTACCTGCCAACGACCAACACTCACCATGCCATCATCTTCGGAACGCCTTCTGATTGACAGAATCAATGCCACTCCCAGAAGGGGAAGCTGTGTCCCATGGCCAAAATTGGCCAAATGTTCTTTAGACACTCCAAACACCAGTCCTTGCTTTCCCTCTCTGGCAAAAGCTTTGTTTGAGCAATGCCTGAATTCCAGCCACAGTTAGTGCGAGATTGTCACGAATCAGGCAATCGCGATGCGTTCATGACATGCATATGCAGCATGATGAAACCCTGGGAATTTCCACACCAGGAGATTTGACCATGTCATGGGTCCAAGGAAGCCGATATGACTGCTGGCTCCCATGAATGTATGAGGCTGGGTTTGTCGTAAAATAGGGGAATCCCCAAACTGGTTGGTTTCCTGTTGGTTTGCTGAACGCCATCCGAAAAGGGTACGCTCAAAAATAAAGACGGCATATTTCCTACAGCCCTGGCAAACCCTTGGCTTCGCCGCTCGAGGTCAACTTCTTCCTTTGCCGCGTCTTTTACGGCTATCTGATGATTTGGGCTGAGAGACACTCGGAGTGAGAGGTGAGTACACCCTTGGTTTCTAGTCAGTAAGCATTCTGCGCCTTCCAGCAACCAAGATGACTGAGTTTTAATGCCAATTGAAGCAAAATCGAAGCCCGTTTTCTGGATATGTGAGAAAAGCCTTTGAGATCCAGCCTTTTGAGCCTTTGGTACCGCTTTTGTCCATTTAATCATCCAAAAGGCAGGAACTCGAGTTCCATGTCCTTTGGACTAGTCCGCAAGCAAAGCAGGGGGCAGTCCCAACCATCAGCAGGATCTTGAGAATCTTTGCGCAACATTTTGTACTAGGCTGTCCAAATTGGATCTTGCGCAAGGACTGTTGAAAGGATCTTTACAGAAGGCCGCAAGATTGCAGCAACTCTCTGCGTGCAAGATCCCATTGCAGAATCTTGGCAAGATCTTTCTATACAGGATCTTTGCAAGAGGAGCTCTACAGAAGGTCCTGTGAAGGTCCTTTACAAGATCTCTTGAAAGGGCTTCTACGAAGATTCTGTAACAGCTCTGTCGGGAAGAACTCTCCTGACACCCTCGAATTGTGTAGAAGGTTGTGCGAGCAAACTCAAAATCAGCACCGACAGCAAGAGCGACTAGAGACAGCCCAAACTCCAACTCCCTGGCGGGCCTGTCACCTTTCAAAATATCCCTTGAGAATGCCTCAGGTAGAATGCCTCAGGTGTTTCCCGTACATTCGATTGACTCCAGGGCTCCGGCTTCAGCTGAGGGGAGCCCCATGTCCAACCATCGGAAGTTGTTTGCTGGGGCCTGTCTCACAAGCAGTCGTCCTTCTCGTCAATCCTGCTGTCACCGTCAATGAGTCAAGGGTTGGGCATAGATGTTTGCTGTTCTGACTTTCAAGAGCCTGGTGTGTCTAAGAAGGTGGCAGCAACATGTGGCGGGTTGTTCAACATGGGGGGCCCTTGTTTCGGTTTTATGGTGGCTCGCCCTTCCCGCCCTTACAGGGTTCGAAGAGGGGATCTGAAAAGCAAACACACAAGAGTCAAACTTCATGATGCGTTGCCAAGGCAAGAAGCAAGATTCCGGGGGGTACTTCTTTGTCGCGCAGCTCCACCATGTCTTCGTAGGCTCGGCGATGATGCGGGTGCAAATGCTATCCGCTAGCTGGTCGACGCGTGGAGAAGGAAACATATCTCAACCCTCGTTGACTTACCAGATCCCAATGTCCAAGCAAAGAGGTATCTCCGGGATCATTTGCATGATGGCTTCCGATGTGTTTTTATAACGAGGTCTGGTTTTTGCTAGAGCTGGTTCTGGCGGGCGGGCAGGCGGGCGGGCGGGCGGGGCGGGCGGGCGGGCGGGCGGGCGGGTGGGTGGGTGGGTATGGCTGGTTCAAAAAAACAGCGTCTCAAGCAAGCCAACTTCTAACTCACAGGCTGAAAAGGTGGGTTTTGAATACAGGTGTTTTAAATATGTATATATATATATATATGCATATATGTATTTGCTGATTGTGGGTGTACTAGTGTCAAGAGTTGCTTGGGGCTTCGATCTCTAGCCCCTTCCTCAGGGAGCAATTAGAAGAAATACGAAATTGGAGGAAAGCATATTCAAAGGTTGGAGAACATGTTAACATGGTGTCCCTAATTCCCTCTACTTTTCAGAATCCTGGGAAACATGTTTGTTGCAATTCCCCCCTTCCCTATCAATTAGAACAATTAGGAAATCCAGAAAAAGACATATTTTTCTAGTTATGTTCCTTAGAAGAATTAGCATAATTAGGAAGCATGTTTTCAGGGATCTTCTAAGTATTCTGATTGGTTTGTACTTTTGTGCACTTGCAATGCCCTCCCAAGTAATGTTTTCCGGAATTTACACTTATCCTAATTCTTTAACGTGTTCTTGGCCGCCTCCAAATATTTGGAGAAACATTTTCCGAAATCGTCTAATTCTTCCAAGATTCGATTTGATTTAGAATCATTAGCAGACTCAGGATTCTGGAAAGTAGAACCAAATAATGCAGTTAACTATGGAAGGAGGGACTGCGTGTTAAAATGTGTTGTGTTCAATCATTTTGTAATGTTTTCCGAGGTTTTCTAATTGCTCATTATTTGGGGGTTGTTTTTGCACTGTTGCAATCCCCCACAAAAAGAGAGAATCGTTTAGGAAGTCCAGAAAACATTGTACAATGGTTTTCGGGATGTTCTAAGTGTTCGAAATTATTTGGGTGGTTGTTTGCACCTTTGCAATGCCCCTTCCAAAGAACTATAATATTTGGACAATCCCGCAAACCTTTGTCCTATCTAATTCTGCTAATGCGCGTCATTGATTGGAATAATTAGCAGAATTACAAAAATACAGTAATTAGGAAACATGTTTCCAGGATTCTGGAAAGTAGACCCACATAATTCAACTAATTAGGGATGGTAGTTTTTGTTAAACATGTGTTCAAGCACTTTAGCATGTGTTCGTCTAATTCTTCTAATATTTTACTTGTTTTTTGTTTGGGCACTTTTGCAATCCCCCCCCCAAGAAAGGAAGCAAAAGCAAAACGAGAGAGTAATTAGAGTGTTCTCCCGGATTGTCTATTTAGTCTAACTATTTGGGGGGATGTTTTTGCACTTTTGACATTTCCGCCCTGCAATAATTAGACAATTGACAATCCGGGAGAACATCTTCCTAATTGTGCTAGCTCTTCTAATTTAGCAGAAACAATAGCAGACTTAGAATAATTTACGGGACAGTGTTTTCCAGGATTCTGCAAAAGTAGACCGAACAAACTCAATCAAAAAGGGAAGGAGGGACAACAATTTAAAGTGTGTTCAATCATTTTAGATTCGTTTCCGAGATGTTCTAATTTTATGCTAATTATTGGGGGGCGGGTGCACCTTTTCAATGTTCCCCCCCCCCCAAAAAAAAAAAGAAGAAGCTCGGCCGATATCCCCAACAGCACCACACCCTCCCAGCATCCTCGTGGAACCCTCGTGGAACCCTCCTTGGAACCGCCCTGTGGACCCTCCCAAACCCTCGCGGAACACGCCCTGGACCACCCCGGAAGCTTCGCGAAGCTTTTGCAGAACTCTCGCAGAATTCTCGCGGAACCCTCGCGGAACTGTGCGGAACCTTGCCTCAGAGCCGCCCCAGACCACCCCGGAGCCTATCTGGGCATTGTTGGAGAGAAACAGCCGAAGCCTCACCAACAAATTGTTGTGAAGGGACATTTGGGCATATGGCAAAATTGGTTTTCCTTTTGTCTTCTCTTTGAGCCAGCCTCAAATTTGTAATAACGTGGCTGAAGTGAAGCTTTCAGTGTTGGGAGTCCTCACCCAAAGCACTTCAACACCGTTGTGGAATCGAAGAGGCTGCTTTACAGTGAAGGCGGCATTCTGAGCAAAACCGGCGGCACGGTATGATTTGTGGATCGGATTGGTAGTTTGGAGCTCACCAGGCCCAGGTCTGCGCCCAATTGCACTGCAGGGCCCCGACTGACACCGTCGGGCCCCAGTCGTGCCCTGTCGGCTATACCGAGCCGGCATCGCCCAGCTTTGCTTTATACAGTAAAACTGTACAAAGCAAAGCTGAGCGATGCCAGCTCGGTACAGCCGACAGGGCCCGACCGAGGCCCGACGGGGAAATTGAAGCTCGGTCACGGCCCGACGGCGCAATCGAGGCCTGACCGAATGCAGTCGGGTCCCGACCGGGGCCCGACCGGGGCCCAGCGGGTAAGCAGGCCCTGACCAGGGCCTGGCGATGCGAGCGGGCCCCGATCCGGGTCGGGGATTCCAAACCACCAATCCAAGCCACCCGTAGCTCACCGCCGGTTTTGCTTAGGATGCAGCCAAAAATTGTATAAAGCAAAGCTGGGCGATGCCAGCTTTTACATACATTGGTTGACCAGGTTTTTGCTAGACTCACGTGGCTTGTGTTCACAGTTTGGTTCTGAGCACCTTCTGGTGAAATCGTCGCCCGCGCAGGCCTTCTCACCTATGCGTTGCTGATGCTCCCAAGCTTGATCGGTTGGGGGCGAGGACCTGTGGGCAAAGCCCGATTCAGGCGCCAGCGGGAAGGTGGTTTTCCCCCAATGTTTACAAGGTTGTATCCGACTATGATTCTGCAGTTTGTGGTTTGCCAAGCAGTACCTATAGGGCGCTATTCATCCCAACTAGTGCGAAGTGGATTTTATGCATCCAAAGTATTGGACGGGTATGGATCAGACGCAACCTCTCGAGAGGGTCGAGAAACCGCGCCTTTGTGTTCCGAGGCCTGAGCCTGACATTTCTTGTGACGTTTCCAGACACTGCAGGGGGGCCTTGCGCTCTTGCTTTGGTTTCATAGTTTGTCTGCAGTTTCCCATTTGGGAACCATCACGTTGAAATGGGCCAACTCAGTTTTAGAACAATTGCTTTGCGTGCTCCAAACTGAGCATGGAGTCTGCTTTGCTCTTCTGGTTGACAAGGAGATAAGAGCTCAACGGGAGCGAAGAAGTCGCCAGACCAGACAGCGGATCTTCGAACGCTAGGGCTAGGGATAACAACAGATTTTACCATCAAGTGTTTTGGGTTCTTTCACCTTTGGGTTCTTCTGCCTTTGATTGAGTTTTTGAATTGTTGAGGTTGGCCCGCATGCCATCACCATAAGCACTCCATTGATCGGACAAAAAAGCAGGATAATTTGGATGATCATGGAACATTGCATGTTTTCGTTGTTTTTCCGCTGAAAACAGTGCCGAGCTTCTGAGGACAGGCATGATGCTGCGTCGTGCACCAGATTACGTGCCTGCCGGCATGAGCATTCTTGGCTTGGTTTACGCAGCACCTCGGTTGAGCGCTTAGCAGCAGGGTGGGGTGATTTACACCGTTAATCAACCCCCCCAATCATGGAGGTCCATGCGCAATTCTAGGGGCAACCCAATCAAATTGGTTTGGCATTTTTCAGTATTGCTGGGCCAAATATTGAGATTCAACTGATTTAGAATTGCTGTATTTGAGATTCCATTTGATTCATTTTTTTGATTGACTAGTGGAGCCCGGGGGACTTTCAGCAAGCTTATTTTTGGGGGCCCCTGAAGCGTTCGCTTGCTTTGTGCGGTTGATTTGCGGAACGGTGCTTTTCAAGAAGACTCCTAGGTCCTAAGAAGACGATGTAGGCAATTTCAAATTTGGGAAGCATTGTATTGGGATTGTGTTTCGAATATTTGCGGGTGAAGGAGCTGCAGCGTGAATACATTGACCCACCAAAAGTGACTTGAAACTCCGTGTTGTTTAGTAAGCTTAGTATTGCTATTTTACAAGCCCACTAAAGTTCAAAAGACGTGTCTTTAGGACCTTGAAATGACATGGTATTTAAGGGAAGGGCCGCTGAAGTACTAGCCCCTTTCGTGTGATGAACTTGGGGCCGCGTTTTAATCAGGATACGTAGCAAAACTTGAGTTGCGGAAGCAGTTGTTTGCAAGTTGTAACAGTTTGCTGATGGAGAAGCTGCAGCTTGAATCAATTGAGCCACTAGAAGCGATTACAATTTGGCTTAGTACCGCTTTAGTGTGATGTGTTTTTGTTTGCTGTTTATGTAGTTGGCCGATATTTTCCCACAACTGAGAGAGGATTTATTAATTTGTCCTGACCCACAAAGCACGTTTTTGCTGGTGTTTGATTTGTCAGAGGTGGACATTGCACACCAGAGCCTCACAAGTCCAGGCGAAGAACGCCAAAGTCAATCCTGAATCATAGGAGCTGAACCAAGACGAGGCATACCGCCCACGAATTTTCCAGCCGCCCAAATGCAAGAACTCGTTCCATCGTTTTGAGTGCGTCCTGCCGGCTTTGTGTTAGTTGGGGTCTTGAAACAAGACTATTTCATTCTTTAGGTTTGACATTTTGTGAACCAGAATCAGAAAGTCTTATTTTTGGCGCACCCCAATTGGTGGTTTGGAATGGTTCGGGGGCTTGAACCTCTACCTCCAAACCGGGCTCCAAACCACCAACTACTAGAGGCTGAGTGTGGGATCAAAGTCCAGGTTGTGGCCTACAATTCTTTCCGCAACGACTTCGAGTGGGAGGTGCTTCCCTGGGAGGCAGGCGGAGAGATGCCGGAACAAGTGAATCTGAAAAAAAGGATAAATGACCCAGGTGTGTCCTTTTTGAGTCTCGCCCCACCCCTTCTTGGACCTCCAAAAGTTGCAATTTCAATGGGAAATCCAGTGACCCCTGTTTTCGGGTTGGTTTAAATGGAAGTCAAAAAGAAGGCCAACCATTTTGGTGAGTCTATTTTGAGAACCTACCCGGCCCCAACCAATGGCGAACTATGGCAAGACCGCGAAGGTTGCAGCCTTACCCATGGTTGTGTTGTTGCTTTAGGAATGTTGGCAAACTAGTCTTATTTTACCCGGATAAGCATATTCTTCCCATATCGAAGCAGGTTTGGATGCACCTTCATGATACCTAACTCGAAAAATCGGATTTGTTCTTAAGTTGTGTGGTGGCTGCGCACAAGTGGACAGAGTAGATCTGCATGTGGAATACCCAGCAAACAGCCGAAGGACAGAGGCAATTGCGAGAACAATGCACAGTGCATAGATGGCCTGTGAAGAGCCGGACTTGCAAAGACTTCATGCACCTTGGAAACACTGATGACAAGAAGTGTTTTCTGACCTGTTCGGCAATGTTCAATGGTGTGCGACGAGAAAGCAAGTTGCACCTATACAGTCAGTAGAAAGTTGCTGATATGTTTAGGTTTTGAGTCATGTCCAGCCTTTTCCAGATCTTGGTTCCCCGCACGCTTTAATTCAGCCAGTGTCCTGAGAATCTTCTCTCAAACGTGGTAGAGAGCCTTGATACATTGGTCGCTAGTGTTTGAATGCATTCAAGCACCAGAACAAGCCTCAAGTGTCACTGGTCAGATACTGCTTTGGAATTCCTGCCAGGCTTTGGTGACTTTAGTGTTTGTTGTTGTGAAAGACATGGCCATGGCCTCCCACAAGCAGGGATGTCCCTTTTCCATGTGACATGGCTTTGCAACGGCACTGGCAGCCTGCAAACTGCCAGCCTGTGGAGCTTTGCTTTCTACAGTTGTGAGAGAATGTGTGGGGAAACTCTCACCTTTTCTCCACACACATGGGTGTGTGTGTGAGAGAGAAAGAGAGAGAGAGAGAGTGAGTGAGAGAGAGGTTTTAAGGGTACACTTGTTTGAGTTGCTTTGAAGGGAACCACTCACATTAAATTTTCGGCTGAGGCAGTTCCATGGCTTGAGTTGTGTGCTGCTGCTGGCCGTTGTGCGATGATTTCTCCGGACAAGAGATGGGAAGTGAGATCGCACATGCCTGAACCTCATATGTCAGGGTTGGTTAACAGAATCAGAAGCTGCGTTAGTTTCTGTGTGCCCCAGATGTGGGCCCAGAAGCCAAAATGTTGCCAAACCAGCTCTTCCACTGCCACAACTAGTGGAAACTGTATCCACCTACTACATGACCGTGTCGTTTACAAAGTTAGCGTGTAGCGTGTTGAGTTGGTTTGCTGAGAGACTCCATGTCGTGGTTCTCAACTGAATATGCAGTTGCTCAGCTTTGCAAGTGATACCTGCCTTGCGCTTGAATATCAAAGACCGTGGTTGACCTAAAGAAGATAGTTTTCGCTTTGGTTGCCTTTTTTGTCGGAGCATGTCGGAGCATTTTCCGCGTGATGAATAGACCACCACCTTGGTGTAGTCAAGGTTCTAGTGTGGCCGGAACCAACACAAATGGAAGCATCTTGGCTTTCGAGCCAAAGGTCAACAGGTTTCGGGCGGTTCCCAACCATACCCTGTGGACTTCTCGAGAGAGGGTTTTATGGTACGAAACACGAATAGCTTAAGTCCGGCCGGTCAGGAGATCTCCCAGGATGCGGATGGCAAGGATTTTGTGCCAGAGGACTCGGGGGAAAAGTGCGCCCAGATGGGTGCGTCTCTTATTGTGGGATCCCCAAAATTGGTGGTCATAGGGTACCCTCAAGAAGACACACCGGGTCAGCCAAGCCCGGTCAGCCAAGCATTTGGTTGCGTGGCTTCTTGGTTTGAAGTGGAATACTCTTTTCAGGTTGCCTCGAAGGGGAAAGCCAAAAGGAAAAACACGTCCAATTTGGGAGTGCCTCTAAGCCTATTTTGACACCATTTGGAGGGGCTGCAGCTGGTTTTGACACAGAATGTGGGGTTTGGTGGAAATGATAATGATTCGTGTCCCAGGAAAATGATCCACTAACAAATTACCAGTAGTTTTGGGAGGACATGGAGGCCAAAATCAAGGGGCACGCCCAATTTCCCCAAGTCCTCTTTGGGCGACTAGTAATTTTGCCCAGGGCCATTAGATGAACGGCCATGGGTTAGATTTGGAAGCACAAATTGTTATTTGCGCAATGGGTCCATGGTGAGTTATTTTGAAGTCAACTTTTGGTTACCAACAGAAGTGTTAGTCTCATTTCAGGGTGATGTTTGATAGGAGACCTGTATGTTTGAGTTCGAATGGATTCTCATGAGTCATGCAGTCACATGTGTGGAAGCCCATTGAGTGGAGCACCCACAATTTGTGAGTTCAGGGATGGATCCTGTTGAAAGCCCAGGGTTTTGTTGGTGAGCGCCGGCTTGCGTATGTTTGATTGCTTCAGTTCATGTGCCGAAGGTACATCCAGCCGGAGCTTCTGGACGAGTTGCCGACCACCAAGCTGTCCTAGAACCGGCTGAGGTGAGGGTTTTTTGGGACATGCATTTGCCCATTTTATGGCGACAGCTGTGGGAGAAGCGAGCTCATCAGTAGATGGTTTAGGTGTTGAATGAGTATGAACAAATGAGTCGAATTGTAGGCTAATTGTTGTGGAGAGTTGGATATATCTAGCCACGCGATAGTACCGTCCTCAACGACCAAGCGACTTTCACAACTGGAGAAGGCTACAATCATGAGCCTGGTAGTGGCTGACGGATCTTGGAGATTCTCAGAGTGTGCTCGGTGCCGGGGGCGATTCCATTGTTTCAGCGGAGTTTGTGCTTGGCCGCTGCTTGGCAATTGTTGCATCAATTTTGGACGGCGCGGCACAACAAATGAAGTTGTTGCCGTTTGTTTGCAAGAAATGCTCCGATTCAGCCCGTTCTGGTGGAACCCATCAGGTGTGTTGTTGTTTATTTGTTTCGTTCACCTGACAAGAATTCGGCTTTCTTTCTTTAAAATCCAAGCCTTCGACCAAAACGCCCGCGCTCCGAGCTCCAGTATCAAAATCAGCAATGTTAGTTAATTTCAATTAGGCAATGTAGAGTGGGGCCAGTTCAGCGGAGATTCAGATCGAAAGCCTTTCGCACCTCTGAAACGGCAGCGCTGGCATCTGAGACATGCGAATAGCCACACAGGGTTGAGGACAGCTGAACTTGCGTAGCAAAGCTTAGCCACCTAAGGCCTGCGAGCCTGGAACAAGTCTCAGGCGATTCTTGAATGCCAGTCATTTGCGACAATCCTTGCGCTGATTTGGCTAGCCTCTGTTCTGTCTGCGGAGAGCAGCGCATTGGCCGTGGTGAGCATCGATCCGCCCTGCCAGGTCACAATGAAAGCCGCTGAGGAAGGTTTAGGCAACGTATACAGCTGGAAGGATGACTGGGAGAGTCCCAGCATGCATTCTATTGTGTGGTGCAGACTCAAAGGAGCAAGCAAGGCCAAACCCGCATGGGCTCATGGAAGCACGTGGTTCCCCAAAAGGGGTTGGGCGACGCAAATGGTCGGTTTCCGTCTGGGTCCCCCTCAAAGCACCATTCAAAAGGGTCTGTCTCAATTTAGGCCTCCTGAAAATGAGCCTACAAGTAAGAATTACTCAACCTTATGTGAACACGGCAATCGGTGGCTTAGCAGCCTCCATCTTAGGGGGCGGTTTCGTTGTTGAGTTGGCCGGTCTTTATGCAGTGCAAATGCATTGGCTTGGCTGCCGCGCCGCCATTTCAACAAATGATGTCTTTGTCGCTGAATCTGCCACCAGCAAGAATCACACGGCATGGTTGCTCTGTGTGGGCCACCTTCAACTATTTGTTGGATGGGTATGAATCTTAGTGTTTGGAATTCCTTAGGAATTGAGGGCTGAAACAAATCCAACCATGGAAATGACCACATGGTCTCCAGCTCCTAGTTCAAGAGCCAGCCAGATCACCGTTACGCCACTATTCAGGAGAGACGTTTCCGAGAACCAGGCCCCTGCCCCCCGGGAAGGTTCTCAGAACCCTTCTGCAAGGCATGTAAGAACCGCTTCTAAGAGTCCCTTCAGAACCTTTCCTGGATTGTGAGGGGGAGCCTGTAGTTTCCTGCCAAACATCTCACTGGTCACTGATTGCTCGCCAGCTTCAGCCCGTAGCCGCGGCTGTGGATTGCGAACGTGGGGTTCAAAGCGGCAGTTGGACGTTTCCGTCAGTGGAAGCTGCCTGAGGGGTGCGTCTTTCGATGTGCGTATGATTTCTATCTTTTTGCTTCGATATGCTTTTGCGGGCTGTTAAAGGGAGACTAGGAGACCAAAAAAGAAACCAAAGAGAAACAATATGCTTACGTCACTCTGGTTTGTATCAAGGCAGTGCCCAAACTAGCAGCTCTTGACCAGCAAACACAAGCTACGAGTTGAATCCCGAAAAAAAAAATGCTGGAGCCTCATTTTCTGTGGGTAGCAAAGAAGACAGCATCTGTCCCCTTCCCCAAGTCTGGGTTGTTCAAAAAATCAATCCTCATGCCAAATGGTGGCTTACCTTGTTGGTGTCCCACTACTGACTAGGAACATGGGGATCCCCCCCGCTTTGAACAACACAAGTGAATGCCCTGGGGGTGACCTTTGTTAGGGATCCACCAATTCGTACAGGCGGCCACATTTTGGTTTGCAAAAGGGAGCCAACCATTTTGGGAGTCTTTTGTTTTGGAAACACCCAAGGCGCTCAGCTAGTGACTGCAGTATGAAGCTGCCGCAGGCACCGTGACCAAATCACCTCATTGTGTCATGTTTGCCTTGTCAAACGGTAGGCTCATTTAGGATCATGAAAGGGTTGGGGTGCAGGAAAGCCTCCCGGAAGTTGTTTTTTGGCAGGGGTTGCACTGCACAAAATCCCATTGTCCCAGAGACTATCCTGCAACCCAACCCGCTGATCGTGGTTGCTGTTTGTTATTGACATCAGGTGTAGGCGTGATTGTCAAGATCCCCTGAAGCCGCTCCAGTCGTGCCAGGTTGTGAGAGAGCTGTTGCTGGGCCTGTATTTGCTTGAGGGTACCCATGGTACCTTTTTTTAGATTGGTTTAAAGGGAAAGCAAAAGGAACACAATTTGTGGGTTCCACTATTTTGAGGCAAACCCTGCTGGTCCCGCAAGATACTCAAACAGGTCATGTTTCTAAGTGTCTGCATATGTCTCTAGTTTTACTTGCAGGCTTTCTGGTACCCTAAACCCCCCGTCTACAAATCGGCCCCTTGCATGAATGTTATTTTCTTTGACTTGCAATGTGTAAATCCCACGAGCTGTTCAGATCCATGTAGCAGTGGAGGTGAAAGACAGCAAGAATCCTGAGGAGACTGCGAAGGCGGGAGGACTGCTTTGGAAATGGCTTGCGGAACCCTTGTGTCCAAAGTTTTCGGGAGCGGGTGTCTCTTAACCTCAGGTCCAGGTTTCCTTTAACTACCAAAAGGGGAGGTCACCATGTTGAGAAACTCCCCTGTCCAACAATGGCGTTGCATCTTTGTCTAGTGTAATGGGGTATCTTTGGATCGAGGCCCGCGAATATTGTTCGGCGCAAGAACGGGGCCGATGCTCAATGACGTGTTCATGGGTTGAAAGGTCTCTATGACGAAACCATTAGCCCAAGAGTTGGGCCCTGTGAGTCGTTCATGGGGGGGGGTACAGGGTAAGGGTTTCGGTTTGCTTCCGGTTGACCGTTTTCCTGAAATAGGTTATTGCCCAGCCTCTGTTGAAAAAGTGTGTTTCATGCACTGTTGGGACAAGCTCGAGATATTTCCTTAGGGCTTTAGTGACGGCTTGGGCGGGGCTGGCTACTCAAGGTCAATTCCGCAGTTCTCTCTTGGATGATCCCCCCAAAAGTAAGTCGTTAGTTCTGTAAGATAAAGCTGCTTGGCGATTGACTGAATAGGGTTATGAAACTCCGGGGTGCTTTTCCAAGCATGGCCCCACATGGATTGTTGCAAGGCATAGCCGTGACCATTTCCCTGCTTCAATTCGAGTCGCGGTTCCAGGTCATGAAAGAGCAGGTGGCCAAGCACGTCAGCAGCTGCCTTGGAACGTGTGTGGGAATGCGTGTGTGTGTGTGTGTGTGTGTGTGTGTGTGTGTGTGTGTGTGTGTGTGTGTGTGTGTGTGTGTGTGTGTGTGTGTGTGTGTGTGTGTGTGTGTGTGTGTGTGTGTGTGTGTGTGTGTGTGTGTGTGTGTGTGTGTTTTCTTGTGTGGGTGTGTTTGTGTGTGTGTGTGTTTTCTTGTGTGGGTGTGTTTGTATGCATGCACTGTGATGTGATAATCCAGTGCACTGTAGTGTAATGTGACATAATGTATTGCAATTGCGGTGGTGCACGTCAAACAAGGTGATGCAAGGTGATGCAATGCGATGTAATGAATGTAATGAATGTAATGCGATGCAATGTGATGTAGTGAATGTAATGTGGTGCAATGTGATGAAATGTGATGTAATGTGATGTAATATGATGTATTTGTAATATGCGGTAGTGCAATGTGATATATGTGTGAGTGTATTTATAGGTGTGATGTGTGTAATGCAATATCCGCAATGTAATGTCAGTAGGGCACTCGAATGCATCCTAGTCAAATCAGGTTTCGGTTTCAAAGGGGCACCCAGAAAAGAAAGCCAGGTGAATGGTACACCCCCAGCATAGTAAACTTGGTGAAATGATTTCAGGATTCTAAGGGCCGTGGAGCCAGTCATTCAACGAGGTGTGCCCACGAAGGACGTGACCGTCGCCGCAGAGCCAGCCCCGCAACTTGGCTGCCCTCGTCCGAGGAAACCTTGGCCATCCCCAGACCTCCAGCGCCTTTTTTTGATGTTGGAGGGGGGTCCGGATAAAATTTAGTACCCTCCCGTTTTCTTTTGGAAGGGGTTGTTTCTGTTTAGCGGCGGTGCTTCTCGTTGAAACCAGTCCAAAAACAAGGTGTCCCATGGCCACTAGAGGGCTGGGCCATGTACCGTCCCAATGGAGTCCTGTTCGACATCACCTTTTGGGAATTCAAAGCGAGCTTCTTTTTTGAGTGATGTAATGCAGGTACGGAGGTTTCTCTGAATGGTGGGCCTGTTCCAGGGAAATATTAATGTTGATAAATCTCAATGTATTTCGGAGCCCTTTTTTGGTTGGTGGTTCAAGGACCCTTAGGGGCCCAATGTTCAGAAACCTCCATATTTGAGGAGTTCTTTGTTAGGCCATGGAAACTCAAGGCCGGTGATCCCCGTAGGCCTCAAGGCCTCAAGGGGGAACAACTCCCAGCTAAGGCCCATGGCATCCCTGGAAGGGTGGGTCTCCAAAAAGTGGGGTTACACTTCGGCCTTGCCCTCGGATTTGTAATCCAGCATCTTGTTCCATGGTATCTCGCGGAGAATCACTTCAGGAATCCAAAGTTGTGGGGCACATGTCTGGCAGGAGGGCAGCATTGAACATGTTTCAGCTTTCAGCACATAGCCACTGTCGAATCGACCCACGGCCATGCGAGTCAATGCTTTCAGTTCCATTAGCCGAGTCTTTATAATATGCTGTCCGTTCTGACTTTGGGGATTAATTCTCCACCAAAGCAGCAAGCATCGACGGCATGACACTCAGTGCGGTTCGGAACGAATCCGATCCGACAGTGAAGCAGCTTCCGAGCTGTTGGCGAAAAGATCCTTGTTTTGGAAGCATGAGAGAAGGTCCTGTCAAAACATGAGGCATAGCACACACATAGCCATGATGGCAAGACGGATAGACCAGTGGTGATGCGATAGGGTTGGTTCCCTTTTTGGGACAAATGAAAGTCGCTTCGCGCTTTGCTTCCAGGGAGGGCAAGGCGAACTTCTTCGTGCAGGTGAAGAGCTTGGCCTGGCACCCAGGGAAACCATGTCCAAGAGAACTGGGGGAGCTTTTGGCCACTGAGAAGGAGACCAAGAGGAACCCGACCCGAGCTCTTTCTGGGTCTTTGTTTGGGGAGAACACCCAGTGCAAGCCTGCCGGGGAA